AGTGGTGTAGGGATTTGGAAGAAGAAATCTCAGCTTTCCAGCTTGAGTAGTAGCAGGTGTCATGGCATTAGCAAGGAAGGGAGCAGGCACTGGGCTTTCAGTAAGGATATGGAGAGATTKATTTGTCAACAGCTTACATAGAATTCCACTTTTGAAAGTTGCTGTGCAGTCTTGGGACTTCCAATTGTGTGTAATATCCTGAATTTATAGCAAAGGTAGCTTTCCCAGTTTCTTGCTCATTTTGTAAGTATTTCTAATAAAGGAGAAATTGCTAATCCTATCTAAACATCTTCATGAATACTGTTGAACATGACAAAAGAAGTTTAACATAAGTTGTCCAAATAATTGCTTTTGTTTTAAAAGGTGGAAGGTTGTTTGTCACAAAACCTCATTCTTGAARTATAAGTCCTTGCCATTTGGAATCCTTTTTACAGACCAGTTGCAGGATTTAATCCCAAAATTCAAATATTACTAGGCCCAGGGCTGCCCCCTTCAGCCAAATACAAGTCTTAACATGTGGAACATTTTTGACTTCAATGCTTCTGTGAACAAATCTTTCTCCTTCTTTACTCATTTATTGCAGTTCATTGAAATTGCTATTTGAGTAACAACTTTTATGTTCTTAACTTGTCCATTCCTTTTTGGTTTTGGCAATAGGATTATCAGTTTTGACAGTTCTCTATGGGCAGAAGGTTAGTAGTTAACACAAGAATTATGTCAACATTACCTTGCAGGCACAGGACTTTTTTTTTCTTTCTTTAAATTTATGAATATATTCTTAAATCAAATATTAGTTATGGATGAGTTAGGTTCATATATCAAGCAGCAGGAGATATTTTGGAGAAGGGGAAACCTAGTATCTTTCATCCATCTTTTTTTTTTTTCCTGCTCAGCTCTTGCCTGGTAAATTGCATTAAATTGTTTGAGCAGATGGTGCATGTGGCTTCAGTCGTGGGCCGGCCCATGTTCTGTCTCTGGTAACAGCTCTCTGTGGGGACCTTGAAATAGTTGATACTGTGTGTGTCTGCATGGAAGTAGTGTAGGAGGGTAAATATAATGCATTTAAAATTAAAYGCTTGAAACCCTTCAAGGTGAAATTAAAGTTACAGAGGTATTGGTGTATTGAGCATCTGGGATCTCCCAAGAACATGAGGTAAAACTGTTGGATGGGCTGGTTCTTCCCACAGGAGCACCGAAAGCGATTTAAATTGGCTACATAAGCATCCCAAATCTCTCAGGGATCATTTTAGGTCACTGTCTCCTGTGCAACCACACTACTGTAGTGCCTGGACTCTTCCATCCCTACCTGTGCTTACTCTCCTGTCACCACCCCGAGATAGTGACGAGTCATCRTTCCTCGCTTGTGGGCTGGAACTGAAGTGCACCGGAGGCTGAGCGCATGC